AAAAAAAAAAATCATATTGATAAACAAATTGCAAATCAAGAACTATTTATGTGAAGTTTGCAAAGTTGATGTTTTCTGAGTGCAGAGTCTTACATCAATTCTTCCAATATGTCAGGGTGTTACAAAGGCATACAACAAAAATTATAGCAGGTAATGAAAATGCCGTTTACATACCACGTGCTACACAGTCACTCAATCTTGTAGGACACTGTGCAGTAGATTTCTGTCCAGAAGCAGTGGATTTTTATCAGTTATTAGGTGCATTTTTTGCCACCTCTACTCACTGATGGGCAGTTCTTGAAACATGTTTTGGCACTGATAGATTATGAAAATGCCTTACTGTTATGAATTGAATTATACCCTCCACTCAAAATCGATGTCAATTTGGTTAGGCTATGATTCTCAGCATTGTGTAATTATCCTCTGTTTTGTGATTGGTTGTAATTACTCTATGTGTTGTAATTCTAACCATTATGATGTTAATTAGGTAGGGTTAGTAGTGACAGTTCTGTTAATAAAGCAGGATACAATCTACAAGATTAGATTGTGTCTTGAGTCAGTCTTTTGACACATAAAGAAATTGAACAAGCAATCAGAGATCAGAGGGACCTACTACCACCAAGAAAGAAAAACCAGGAGCAGATTCAGGGGCCCTGCGCTGGGAAGCTCCTAGAACCTGGAGGCACAAAAAGAAAAAGTCTCCCCCTAAAGTTGGAGTTCTGAATTCAAACCTCTAGCCTTCTAAACTGTGAGACAGTAAATTTTTGTTAAAACCAAAAAAAGATAGAAAATAGCCTAGCTAGGGAAAAGCAAAGCTGTTTCTCCTTTATTTTAATTAAGTAATCTGAGAAATAGGAACACACTGACACTGTAGGATAAGTACTAGACTTAAACTGCCATAAGGTTGGCAGTTTAAACCTACCAACCACTCCTTGGAAACTCTGTACAGGGTCACTATGAGTTGGAATGGACTCAACTGCACTTAATAACAACAACAACAACAAAGTTGAAAGGAAGGAGCCAGGGGAAAGGCTCTACTGCTAACACTGTAAGATGGGCTGCGGAATTAGAAGTGATAGAGTAAGGCCCTGGAGACAGTAGGATCAAGAGTTTAGGTGATTATGAAAAAGAGGGAATGAGAGAGTAGGTGAAGGTTCTGAGACATTTAAATTTCTGTTGTTGCCATGTACCGTGGTGTCGGTTCCGACTCATAGTGACCCTGTACAGGGTTTCCCAGGCTGTAAATCTTTATGGGAGCAAAAAGCTTCATCTTTGTCCCGCGGAACAGCTGGGAGTTTCGAACTGCTGATCCTGAGGTTAGCAGCCTGATTCATAACCACTACGCTACCAGAGCTCCTTAAGTAGAGTTGGAAAGAGGTAGTAAAATTATTTCTGTCCTAATCTAATAGATTCCAACTCATTAGCAACCCTATAGGAGAGTAGAAATGCCCCATAGGGTTTCCAAGGCTGTAAACCTTTCCATGTGCAGACTGCCACATCTTTTTATGGTTAAGTAGATGCTTTAACTATGTTACCATCAAGACTCCTTGGCACTGTAATAGGCAATCAATTAAAGATGATTCTTAAAATTGCCAGGCAATTTCAGCTGCAGGTTCAGCTGAAGCCCCAGTAGCATAATTTGTAGTGAAGTTACTTAAACTCCACTGACTTTATTCAGAGTCAGATTCATGAGATTTGGTAGCATAAGTAGAGAATTTGAATAGTTTGGAGATTCACAGGGATGAAGTTATAGAAGGATAAAAGACAGCCCAGCCATCTGATGTGCTAAGAAGTGGATATTGAAATGTTAGACTATGGGGATTAGGCTTGGTGGGATGGCGGCAAACCAGAGAGATGCTAACTGGGGAAATCGAGGAAGAGACCTTGTGTGGCTGAAGGTGGCAGTGGTGGTAAAGCCTGGACTTGTGAAAGTAGGCATCGCTGAGGAGAAGGGAGTGCTTGTGGACTGCTGCAGTTATGAAAGTTGAAGAGGCTGTAGAAATGTGTTGAAAGGTTCATTGCTCAACAAAGAGGATAGGATTTTAAGGCAGAATTGATTAGCGAGGAAGGGAGCGGGGCGGAGAGGAGTACCTCAAAGCATAGTCCAGTAAACCATGCGGAGATGTCACTACAGAAAGAAGATAAACAGTGGTGAGCTTGATGTTGGGCTGGAGGAGGGGGAGTGCAGTGGGAGGTGAGGAAGCAACAACTGCCCTCTTTCTTGCCTATTTAAGGGAAGAATAGAAAGTTTCATTTATAATGAGGAGATGGAGTATTTAAACCTTGAGCTGAAGTTTAACATTGATCACTGAGAATTATCTTACTTTGTTTTGTTACTTATAGCTTTATTTTCATTTTAAAATTAAGATTGACCCTATTACTTTATAATCACTAGAGTAATTGAAATACTTGGTTTATTTCAGTTAGAAGAGAGACATGAAAAATTACGGAATGGAATGGCTCAGCAGATTGCATATGAAATGCACCTTGAACAACAGAGTGAGGAAGAGCTAAGGAAGAAAAGTTTTCCTGATCCAATTACAGACTGTAAGCCCCCACCTCCTGCCCAGGAATTCCAAACAGCACGCCTTTTCCTTTCACACTTTGGATTTTTGTCGTTAGAAGCATTGAAGGTAATTTTCATAAACTTTTATGAGTAAGTATATTCATAAATTTACATTGAACTGATAATGAAAGCATTTTTATGAGTTAGAAGGGAATTTAAAAACACTGGTAAAATGCATATCCTGCATGTAAGAGAATGAAATTCTGTGCTGCAATAGGTTGTAGTACTAGCTCCAGGACAGTTTATCCAATTAATGCCTTCAGAATTCTTTTAGGAGAAGTGCTTTAATAATAATATGGCTAGCTCTGAATTTTCCTTGGTAACGTAGGCATTGTAGGATAAACCCTGGACTGTTAACCACAAAGTCGGTTGTTTAAACCCACCAGCCACTCCTCAGAGACCATGTACAAGGTCGCTATGAGCTTGAATCAACTCAGTGGCACTAAACAACAGCAACAGCAGTGCAGGACCCATATCACACTATAAATGAACTCTGCGCATTATAAGAAAAGTGTTGATAAGCTTCCCCTGGTAGATTTAATTGCTGAAAATGTGGACTACACTTGACTCTGCTTTTTCATGCTACTTTTAAAAAAAGGGATGGAAATTCATACAGTAGTTAGTATTTGTGTATGAGGCATTTCTTATGTTGTGTTAGTTTCTGAAGTCAGATGAGATCTATGTCTTTGGCATACTTGCCAGCTGTGTGGTCTTCGGCAGGTTATTTGACTTTTCTGAGCCATATGTAGTTTTTTGTATATAAAATGGGATTGAAAAAGTATCCATCTCATTGGTCAATGAAAGATTAAATGAGTTAATACATGTAATATGCTTGATACAGTACTTAATACAAAGTAAACTATCCTTTAAGATAAATCTTGCCATTATTCTTAATTCTATTATCCATAAAACAATTTTACAAGGAAAGTGATACTATCCTTGTTTTGCAGATGTGGAAACAGAGGCTCAAAAATGTGAAATAACTTGCCTGAAGGTGAACTTAGGGTTTGTTTCTAAACCCTATTTGTTTTGAAAAGCACAACTGAAGATTGCCAGAGAGAAGTTGCTTATAGTATGAATTGTTACCTGCCCTAACTCTCTAGCTGCTACCCGAGACTAGACCATTAAAGGGTGAGGAGAGAATTGCTGTCTGATTTTGGATTTTAGCATGTAGAGGGAAAATAAAAAGTATGGTGCTGAAACATTTTTTACACTGTAAAAAATTGACTTAGTGATTGGGAGTATGAACATAAGAATGCTCTTTAAATGCAGAAGAAAAGAGCAAAGAGGAGGATAATAAGAAATGTAAATACAAGACAAGGAACAGAAATTCAGTCTACAAATGGTTAATGATCTTCCTTGTGAAGAAACTAGAACAGAGTAGAAGCAGTAAATGAAAACTACATTCTGTGACTAGGGTGACAAGAAAAGCTTATAAAAATGAATGAGAACCTGCCTCTGAGATTGTAGTTTTCTGCTCATGTTATCTATTTTAGTTGAGATTTTTAAGCTTTCATGAAATTTAAGAGCTTTTTCATATGTTCAGAACATAGGACAAAGTTAGAAAACTACCTGGTTTTTTTAAAGGAATCTTATTATTGTATCTGTGGAGTCCTGGTCACTATGGGATAAGCGCTGGACTGCTAACATAAAATTGATGGTTCAGACTGACTTCTGGGGAACCCTGTACAGGTTTGCTATGAGTCAGAACCAACTCAATGGCATTTAACAACCAGCAGCGTATCTGTAATAAACTTCAACCTGACCCCACACATACAGATAAAGCTAATCTTGTTTTTATTAGAATATTAAAAACTGAAGTCATTAGCAAATTTTTCTTCCACAACCAAATAAAGTTTGTCCCAGGAATTCAAGGAGAGTTCATTATTGGAAAGTATTAATAAAATTAAAAAGAAAGTTTGTTATTTTAGGTGATTAAGTCATCAAACAATAAAACAATACTAATTTTTAATTTAAAATTCAAACACACACTTACCCAGGACTAGATATGTATGTGGAGTCCTAATGTGGTGCTTGTAGAGTAAGCACTGGACTGCTAACCTCAAGGTCAGCAGTTCAAACCCACCAACTATTCCTTGGAGACCCTATACAAGGGTCACTATGAGTTGAAACCAAGTCAACAGCGCTTAACAACAATAGATGTGCATGTTGTTGTTGGTAGGTGCCATCAAGTCAGTACTGACTCATAGCAACTCTGTGCACAACAGGACAAAACACTGCCTGGTCCTGGGCCAACCTCACAATCGTTGGCTACGCCTGAGCCTATCGCTTCCGCCACTGTGTCAGTCTATCTTGTTGGGGGTCTTCCTCTTTTTCTCTGACCCACCACTTTACCAAACATGATGTCCTTCTCCAGTGACTGGACCTTCCTGATAGTATGTTTGAAGTATGAGAAACGAAGTCTGGCCATCCTGACTTCCAGGGAACATTCTGGCTGTATTTCTTCCACACAGATTGATTTGTTATTTTCGCAGTCCATAGTACTTTCAATATTCTCCTCCAACAGCATAATTCAAATGCTTCAATTCTTAATACAATTTTCCTTATTCACTGTCCAACTTTCATATGCATACGAAGTTACTGAAAATACCATGGCTTGGGTCAGGCACACCCTTGTTCTTAAACTGACATCTTTACTATAGCACTTTAAAGAGGTTTTGTGCAGCAGATTTGCAGTATGTCATATGATTTCTTGACTGCTGCTTCCATGAGTGTTGATAGTTAATCTGAGATGATCCAAGCAAAATGTGTATGTAGGCCCCTACATTAAAGATTACTGCTCTAAATGACAGCCTGTAGATTAAACTAGAGACACCCCAGGTTAAAATCAGAGTCAAAGAATGTGTACATTAACCACTATTTTACACATTTTGTTTGTTTGTTTTTTGTTTTGTTTCTTAATGTTTTATTGTGAATTATGTGATAGTTTACATGGGAGAATGTTAGTTTTACATTCATCCTGTTGTATATCGTTTCACTTCCATGGTTACAATTCCCTCCATGCATCATAAACCAGCCAAAGGGTATTCACTACAAGCCTGCCCCCCAGTCGTCAGCACACAGCCCCCCTCTATCTCTGTGTCTAAAGTCCCCAACTGCTCCATCTCTCCATGTCATCATCTCTGCCTCCATCTCAGGCTTGATATCACTGCTTCTCTGGGTAGGGTCCCATTCTCTACTCTTCTCCCTTGGTGGTCCCAGGGACCTCCACTCCTAGGCTGAAAAGTTAATCATTCCCCTCCTTGCTACAAAACGTTTGCCTTTACATTTCCAACCCTCACAAGCAGTCCTAATAACAATTATTCACTATTGTATCACAAGAGACCCATCCACCTTTCATTTCATCAGCCCCACCTAGACAGATTGGATACTACTCAGTGGAGATTCTACCTTCCTTCACGCCCTCTGGATCTAGGTTTCCTCTTGAAAGCTTGTAAGCCAGTCACTTCTTGCCTTTGTAGCCTCTTCACTTTGGATAGCCAATGTCCAAGTTGCCCATCCCTGTCTATTCTGTGTATGGAGAGGGTGGAAATGATTCTTGCTGTAAGGATTTGTTCCCTCTTATGAGCTACTGCATCCATAGGTGTAGGTCAAGTTCATCAAATTGTTATCAGATTACTCTTTTATTCCCTCTTTTTTCTTCTGGTTGAGCTCTGATCCTCCAGTCATTGAAGCCAGGTCAAGTGGGTATTATCTGCAAGCATGGTATTATCTTATGCATATGCCCTCTCTTCTTATAAGCTGGACGCTTCACTCTCCACTCTAGTCCTCTGTGGCTATGTCACTGACTCTGGGCCCAAGAGGCTCCAGGTCTTGCCGCACTACTGGCTGACCAGGTCTCCACCCAGGTTCACAGGAGTCTATTGAACATTCTGGGGCTTAGCTTGCAGCTTAATTGCTGTTTTTTCCTCACTTCCCCTTATCAGTGACCAATGTGGTCACCAATCAAAGTGTGTATTCCCGTTGAGTCTTAGCCTTGGAAGGGGCTTTGCACTGAGGGGACCCGACCACTTGCCTTGAAGTCTCCTGGGCAAGCGACTTGCTTGTTCTTGTAGTAACAGTCAGTCTGCCTATATTGTTTTGTATTTTTCCTGTAGGAACACAGACATTTTTTAGTCAGTGAAATGTTGTAAACTTTTTGTTTTGAAGTAGTTACAGAAAGCTGAGCCTTTCTGCTCCCATAAAGATTTACAGCCCCAGAAACCCTGTATAGGGTCGCTATGAGTTGGAACTGACTCCATGACACATCACCATTACCACCACCATAGATTCATAGGTTGCCCAAAACATTTGCAAGAGTACTTTTTTGCACATTTCATCGTTTCCTCCAGTGCTAAAACTTACATAAAAACTGTACAATATCCAAAATCAATGAAATATTAAATAAACCAAGAGATAAGAACTATTGGGAAGGAGGAGATAGTTTGTAGATAATACAACGTCTAGTTAAAAAAACATGAGAATCAAAATATTTAAAATAAATGATAGAACTAGGATTGCTATGCACCAAAAATAAATAGACTGTATTTGCCATCTCTGTTAAAAAATGCAATACAAAAAAAACACATTTTTGCAAGGCCTGGGGACTCTTGGGCCCAGAGTCAGTGACATAGCCACAGAGGCCTAGAGTGGAGAGTGAAGCATCCAGCTGATAAGAAGAGAGGGCATATGCATAAGAACACCCACACTTACAGATAATACCC